TCTTTTGGGTACCCCCTCGTATCATAGAGGGAAGCACAATGGACCAATACTGGTTTAAGTGCATGGGGAAACCCACCCTCTCCAATAACTAACTAACTAAAGTGCTGCCATCTGATGGGCAGTGTTGCCAATGTCAGCGGTGTCCCGCTAAATCTTCTTTTTGTATGCCCTGCAGGGCAGCGGGAAGAAAATAATGTTTAGCATTGGTCACTCTGTCCTGAATTGATGTTGCCAACACTGCTGATGGCATTTCCTTGAATTTTACAAATATGATTTATTCTGTTTACTGTTATTTAAACTTAAAACAGTAAGAAGGGTATACAATATTTTCCAAATGTTTAATTAATATTTTTTATCCAGTAAGAAGGGCAAGTGCCAACAAAATGAATAAGAGGGCCACAGGTTGGACCACACTGACTTATGTTATTTTAAGTGGATTGCAACACACAATTTTAGTGCACTTCAGAACAGTGTAACAGTTGGATGCATTAAAACACCTGAAGATGGCCATCTATGGTCGAAATATGTTGTGTTAAGTGTTAAATGGTGAATAAACAATTGTTGCATTATCGACGGACTGTGAATACATAGACGTTTGGCTCCTATTATCAGGCATCAATCCCTTCCCCTCCCCAACCTGGATAAGTAATCAGTGTTCTTACACCTAATCTACAATTTCATCACCTACCTAAGGACATTTCCCACTGCCCTCAACATACCACAAAATCTTTCATTCTTATACTTTATCAATCCAAAAATCAATATATCGATCTTCCTGTACATATCTTCTTGATGCCTTTCTTTTGTGGACCTCTTGGTTCTCCTCTCAGTTCTTTATTACTGTGGATCTGCTTATGGTCATTTATCACCTTGTCCAATGTTTGCTTCACATGGTCAAATCTGAGCCTCAGAATATTAATTTCCATATAGTTCCAGAAGGCTTGAAATATCCTCATTTTCCAGCCGCCAAGCTTCCTCACACATTTCAAGACTCAGTCGATCTTCATCAAAACCATGTGGGCACCTCAGTGGTGTCAGCAATGTTTTAGAGGAACATGCTTCCTCCATCTTCACAATAAACATATATACCCTGTAGATGGAAGCAGCAAATTCCTCTAAAACAACGGTAATTACCAGTGAGACTACAGTGTATCATAATACAGACAATAACAATCTAGAAAAGGATACATTGTACATAAAATGGCCAAGGCCCAAGTATAATAAGATCTGTTATACAACTCACTGGGCGTGGTCTCATATGTTGCAACATTGTAGCAGTATATCACATTGTCCATGCAGCTTGCATACAGCTTAAGCTTCCCAGGATCCAGCACTAGGTTTGTGAAACCATTCTGAGATGTTCTTCCATGATACGGCAATGTGTGGCAGGGTAACGGCTCTCTCTTGTATGCTGAGTAGTTTTTCCGTAAGTCCCACACTTTTATCAGCCTGTAACAAAATATTAAGAATACAAACCAATCTTGGTATGCTATAAGTTCATAAAGCTAAACATCTGGTACAGGATTATTCTCAAGTAATTCATATTTACTCAGAAGATTAAGATTTCCCATTATGGATTTGAACGTTCATTACTAGGGCTCGGATTTCTATGACATGTCATATTTTTATCCTGGCATCTTTTCACAAGTATAATTAAATATAAACGCATTTCTGACTCCTGTGAATATGAAAATACGGTTTTTATTGGTCATATAAATGCATATTTGAACCATATTTTAGCTTTAGGTCATATTTGGGCCCAAAGTGATATAAAATCATATTTTTGGTCATATTTTAGGCGAGTTTCACTTATTGCTCAGAAATATATTTGCAAGTATTGGCAACAATGTTATTTGGAACTTAATTTCTTAGAAATATTTGGCCTTGTGTAATGGGATTTGAAGGAATACTGTACAGTGTGAAGGGTAACAGTTCTTGACCTGGCGTAGAATCAACCACTTTGAAAAGAGAAATTGCCACCTCTGCCTCTGTCTGTCTGTGTGTCTCTTTTTCTCCTCCACTGCAGTGATACCTGAAGTCCAGTTTGTTTCTTGCATATTGGTGAAAAATTTTTCCATCCACAAAGCGGTAAATTTCTACCCTCTCCCCGAAACCCGTCCAATACAGTACTGTATTCATAACTTCAGTTGTTCAGTATAGTTTCAAGATGCCTAAAGTCAAGTGCTCTAATAGCGTGAAGTTGCGTGGTTTTATTAAAGAGTTTGGTGACAAATATTTTAGTACTGACGGAGAAATTTTATTTTGCAAAATGTGTGAAGTGAAAGTTACGGCAGACAAACGTTTTATGGTGCAACAACACTGCAATACAGCTAAACATAGAAGCTGTGTAAACAGAGAAATTACCACGGAAAGTAGACAGCGTTGTTCGAAAAGTCATCCTCCAGATCACCGAAATCAGGAAATGCCTCCGAGTTTTCAAAGGATCTTTGTACTATGATGGTTTCATCAAATATTCCATTACATAAAGTAGATACACCTAGTTTCCGAAACTTCCTCGAAAAATATACAACTCATCCCATTCCGACCGAATCCACATTAAGAAAGAACTATCTCACTTCCTGCTACGACGTTACCATAAATAAAATAAGAAACGATGTCAGAAATAATAAAATAAGGGTGTCTATCGACGAAACTACCTACATAAGTGGTAGATTTGTAACGAATGTTGTTGTTGGTATACTGAAAGATGACAAGCCTCAAGATATATTCCTATCGGCATGCGAGGTGTTGGAAAAAGTGAATAAATCTTCCATTGCTGTTGTTTTCGACAATGTGATGAATTTGCTGTGGCCAAATAAGGTAGAACGAGAGAATGTGCTCCTCTTCTTAACAGATGCCGCTCCATATATGGTAAAGGCAGCAAAGGGACTTCAGGTACTGTATCCCAAAATGATTCATGCAACGTGTCTCGCACATGCTCTGCATAGGGTAGCAGAAGAGGTGCGAGAGAGCTACTTTGATGTAGATAAATTAATAGCAAATGGGAAGAAAATTTTTGTTAAGGCTCCACTTCGATTGCAGAAGTTTAAAGAAGAGGCTCCATCACTACCCCTTCCCCCTAAGCCTATTCTAACAAGATGGGGGACTTGGCTCGATGCTGCAGATTATTATTGCACACACTACAGTGTGATTGAAAATATCTTCCTGAAGTTTGACAGAGATGATTCATCTTCAATTCGAACTGTACAAAATTTGTTTTCATCAACCACATCAAGAAATCTAGTGTACATAAAATCAAATTTCAGTGTGATATCAAAATCCATCATTAGACTTGAAGGTGTGGGCATGCAACTGTGCAATGCATTACAAATTGTTAAGAAAGTTGAAAGTGAACTACATCAAGCATAGGGCGAAGTTGCTGTGAAAATTAGTGCAAAATTACTAAATGTGCTCCAACAAAATCCTGGATATTCAACACTGTGTACAATTTCTGACATTCTTTGTGGCAAAGAAGATAAATTTGACAACAGTGAATTAGAACTTGACGCAAGTGATTTGACTTGTTGTAGGTATGCCCCTGTGACATCTTGCGACGTAGAAAGGAGTTTCTCCAGATACAAGGCCATTGTTAGTGACAATCGGAGGTCTTTCAAGTTCGAGAATTTGAAAATGCATGTTGTCATTCAGTGCAACTCTACTGAAAAGGAAGATTAACGTACCGTACAAATTATTTACCTGCAACTATTAGCACACTTTACTTTACTTTTCACGCTAAAATAAACAATACTTTCGTTCATGTTTTCTCTTTACAGGGTCAGCATTGTGTTGTGATGGATGCTTCATGNGCTTAAAGACATTTATTCAGAAAAAATGACTGTGTACACTTTTCAATAAAATGCCATTCAGCTTTTCTCTTTATGGGGTCAGCAATGTGCTGTGATCGATGCTTCAGAGCTTAAAGATATTTATTCAGGACAAAATAACTTTGTAAACTTCTTAATAAATTGCCATTCTTAGGAATTTTTGTTAAATATTTACTTATTTATTGTGGGCCATTCTGTCATATTTTGCCATTTTTAGGGCATAAATGCATGCATATTTTCAAAGTTTTTAGGTCATAGAAATCCGAGCCCTATTCATTACCATTTCAACAAAATCCCACCAATTTATCCTACTTAGTTAAATACAGTTCCCATACTGACATGTATTCCTATTCCTGTGAGATCAGTTTTAATACTGTCTTCCTATCTATGCTTAAGTCTCCTATTGACCTTGTTTGAGGCTGCAGGGTTTTCCAACTGATGGCAGGTGAACTGCATTTGACAAAACACATGGTTTTGTACTGACCATAGGAATATCCTTCCATTCCCAAACACACGTGTCATCTCCTTCCCCTTTAAATAAAAGTTATGAACATTGTTGAAAAACTTTATGGAAAGTGCTTCCTGAATATTCCATGTAATTGATTAACTGCTTTCAACTGACACCCAATAAATTGCTTAGAACATGATTAGATTTAAGAGTCAAAGTCATGTTTGTAATCAAACAGAACCTTGGTTATGAGAGAAAAATATCATATTTAACTGATTATAAGAGGCCACTGGATAAAAGACAACCCTTTCAGTGATTTTTTAAGAAAAATAACTGTATTGCTTAACAGCAGAAGGGTCGGAGTTCAAGCCCTGGCAGTAGTATGATTTTTCTCCTCTACATGTCATCCAGATTGATTCTGAGGCACACCCAACCTCTTATCCAATGGGTACCAGGGCCTCTTTCCCCTGGGGTAAAATGGGCAGGGCATGAAGCTGATCATTCATCTCCGAGTGACAAGGTCAAGAATATGTGAATTTATACATCCACTCCCCCCATACATCTTCATGGCATAATGTTTAGTTAGTTAAGCACAGGGAAAACTTTTACTTTTTTATCTGATTTCTGGGTACAGGGCAGTGGTTGTCCTCATTATATCAGGTTTCCACTAGGGAAGGATTAAATAAACTAGGAATCAATGTCTGCAAAATTTAATAATGCAACATGTTTTGTACATGCATAACACTTTATATCAACTATCAAGTAAATGTTACTGTACTAAAATAATACAAACATAGCAACTACATGGCTTTTCATCACTGAACCAATGATGAACCTGCAAATTTGATTTTAAAAAGTCAGTTCAATTGTGTCCTGTACACATGTACGAGTATGTCCTACCTCTAGGCAAATTTTGAAAGTGCTAGTGCATGAGTTCCAGTGACTTGATGCATTCTGAACTGCACAAGCTACAGAGTGCTGAAGGTAAATGTAAAGATGAATTGGGAAGGATACGGCAAGAAATGGTACCAGTCTTTTTAATACACTAAATTAAATCTAGGATTGCCATGGCAAAAGCTGCATTTAGCAAGAAGAAGAATCTTTTTACCAGCAAATTGGACTTAAATTTGAGGAAGAAACTAGTGAAATGCTACATTTGGAGCATAGCTCTGTATNTGTGACCAGAAGACGAGGAAGAAGACGAAAGAAGATACTGGATGACCTTGGGGACAGAAGAGGATATTTTCATTTGAAGGAGAAAGCTCTAGATCGCATCAAGTGGAGGAAATGTTTTGGAAGAGACTGGACCTGTCGTCTTGACAGATTACTGATGATGATGACCATTATTTGCCCAGGGGCACTGAGAATAATACAATAACTTCAGACTCCACTAACACAATGCATGAATGCTAACGCTTACAGTGCAGAATGTGATTGTGTTAGTATTTGTTTTACATTCCTACATTCAATACATTAAGTCCCTAATACATGACTAGTACAGAAAGGAATACCAACCCATCACCAGCCCCACATGAAATGAGGCGGTCCTCATCCTGGAACACGAGACTTGTGATGCTGTTCGCACGAGATGCTGGCATGGACTTGTTTCGGCGACTCCTGGACCCAGTGTTGGATGGAGTACCTTGAAACCACATAACCATCCAGCACAATTCAGTTTAGTAATACGTAGTACAGTAAATAATTTTGTGGACTGGCTGCATAGTGGTGCTGTTATGCACTATAGCAGATATGTGGAGCCATGAGGTGATGTCGTGTCCATTCTTCTCTCGTCCCAGCAAGAAGCAGTCATGTGCAGGCGGTATATTCAGAAAGAAAGTCACTGTTGTGAAGGGTAGATGTTTGTGAGTGGTGGAAATCAAGAATGTCACAGTTTGAGCACTAGGCACACGTCAAGTTCTGCCAAAAATTGGGCAAATCCACTAGTGAAACATTTCAGATGACCAAGCAAGCGTACAGCAAGCAAGCCCTGGGCCATAATGCTGTGTTTAAGTGGCACAAACGTTCTACAAAGAGGAGAGACAGTTTGGAAGATGATGAGCATACCGGTTGGCCAAGAACGGTCCGAACTGAACTCAAGATTCAAGAAGTTGCAACACTGATGCATGCCAACCGCTCCCAAACAGTAGATGAAATCACAGCAGCAGTAGGGATTAACCATGGTACTTGCCACAATATTCTGTTTGATGACCTGAACATGTCCCGTGTTACACAGCAGTGTTCCACGCATCCTGATGCAAGACCGACGTGACGATTACAGGAGCATTTGTGGCGACCTGAACAATAGTTCTGACAAAGATGAGACGTTTCTCAACTGGATCATAATAGGAGATGAACGGTGACTACTTTGAGGGAGGATGTGGATATGTGTAAGTGTACGAAGGGGGACCCAAAAATAACTGGAACCGACCTGTTGCACGCGCATGCTTTGTAGTTACGAGTTGTGCTGCTAGGTGGTGTTAGCTGGGGGTCTCCCGCGACTGTTAGTGAGCTGGCGTCAGTCTGAGTTAAGTGGTTTGTCTGTGGTGCTCTGTTGTGTGCGTTCCTGTTTCAACCCTTTGGCGATTAGTGAGATGGCCGACCAGAAGGAACAAAGAGTGTGCGTGAAATTTTGCTTTCTGTTAGGGAAAACTGCAGCCGAGACTGTTGGGATGCTTCGGCAAGCCTTTAATGATGATGCTTTGGGGAAATCACAGGTCTACGAGTGGTTTTCCCGTTTCAAATCTGGCAACATGTCAACAGAAGACATGCCACGCCCCGGGCGTCCTTCGACAGGAAGAAATGATGAAAACATTGCCAAAATCAAACGTGCAATTGATGAAGATCGTCGAAAGACCATTGACCAACTTTCTGAGGAAACGAACATCTCATGGAGCACGGTCCAGCGAATTTTAACCGAAGGTTTGCACATGAGACGGGTGTCTGCAAAATTTGTTCCTCGCTTGCTCGGAGATGACCAAAGAGAAAACCGCGTGAATGTTTGCCGCGACTTGAAGAGTGAAGTGCAGAACGATCCAGAATTTCACGCACACTCTTTGTTCCTTCTGGTCGGCCATCTCACTAATCGCCAAAGGGTTGAAACAGGAACGCACACAACAGAGCACCACAGACAAACCACTTAACTCAGACTGACACCAGCTCACTAACAGTCACGGGAGACCCCCAGCTAACACCACCTAACAGCACAACTCGTAACTACAAAGCATGCGCATACAACAGGTTGGTTCCGGTTATTTTTGGGTCCCCCCTCGTATGTGAGTATCTTATAATATGGTGCGACAAAACCACAGTTCACGAAATTATTGATTGCAGTAGTATACATAACTAACCATAAGAACAAGCTTATGTTAAGGTGAAAACTTACATCAGGAATTTGCAATAACACAAAGTTACAACTAACTACACAGTCTTTCAAATAGTAGTTATACAGCTAGTCAAGTAATTCCCTGCCTTTATGGAACCAGAAGGTGCACGACTGATTAACTAAGTCTGTCACTGGACCCTATCTTGAATCAGTTCAGCTCAACACATTCATTCATTAATATTCTTAAGATAAATCTAAATAATATTTTCCCAGTTAAACACAGGTCTCCTAAGCAATTCTTCCCCCAAGAACTTCTAACCAGAACGTCTCAATGCATGTTCCATGTCCATTTCATTCAGTCCTTCATTTAATCGTTTGAACATTAGTATTGAGCTGAAGCATACAAATTATAAAGTTACCTTTTACATAATTTTCTTTCTTTCTTACTTCATGTCTCACAGGATCAAAATGCTTCCTTAGTACTTTTTGTTCTCAGCACCCTTCTTCCCTTAATATAAAAGAGTAGGTTTCAAACTCATTCAAAAGAGGTAGAAACCGTAGTTTTATATATTGTCATGTTTAGTTCCTTAAATAAGTCAACAAAGGTAGTTTATTCTGAAATGAATAATAGTATGCTTACCCCATATTTAATATGCTCTTAATTTTATCTTGGATCTACTTAAGGTCTGTTATTCTCATTTCCAAGTAGCACTGGACGTCTGAATAATTTCCAAGTATTTACTAGCTCTGCATACATATAAGATTTTTACATAGATGCAACCAATTTCAAAACTGGCTTAGAAATTTGTTTTTAAAAATTCAATTTTATGGCTTTCAAAAATGTACCTACAGCAGAGGGTTGAGTTATGCTCTATTATGCGTCACTGCACAGTATGCTATCTTACAGTGTATATAGGCAGACACGTTGGAGACATAATATAAACAAACCTCCACTCACTCACCTGATCCCAAGGCATGATGGGAGTTTGAGATGAAATTATCTGGCTTGTCCCACAATGGCCCCTGGTTTGACCTTGTGTCCCATACCATTATCATCCCATCCCGTGCCCCTGTTGCAAACACAGCTGTGAACAAACAGACAGCATTTACTCTCTATCAAGAAAAACGATACTATTCTTAAGTAAGTTTACACATAAGATACCATTTTGGAGAGATACTGTTTAGTTTTATCTAATTCTGCTTTCTGCTGCATTCTTTCCCACTATATTTTATTATACTCTATGTACTGCTTTTAGTTTGGTTTCTTTGTTTCATGGCTGATGAAACTGATCAACTGAAATAACTCTTTCCTTAGGATCAAATAAAAGAAATGTTTTGGATAAAGGTTGTTCAGATTTTATGGGGGCACATACATGATACCATATAGTTTGTTTATGACACCTTTCGCTAATGAGATATCAAGGTCACTAGCACTTCTTTAAATGGCACCATATATTTTTAATTTGACAAATTCAAAAATACTATCACAAAGTACCATTCTGATTCAACAGAATGCAACAATATATAACAGATCTCAAATATCATCCTGAATTAATAACTTGGTATTTTGAACCAACAAAATGATTTACAGAAGACGCTCAAACTGTTGACCATTAAAGTTAACACTGGATGAATGACTACCTTGATCATTCAACGTACAGAACAACGTAATTACCTTTGCAATTTTAACAGTTTTGTGTACTACAATACTAACAGCTGGAATTAATTAATACACACCAGGATTAACTAATTTCACTTATCGCAGTCACTATTAACAAAATACTGTGACAGGACACCCCCTCCCACGCCAGCAGTGACGTAACGCCTTCAGAGCGTTGTTGCTGCTACGGTAATAGGCCAGTCAACACCCCGGCCCCTCCCATGGTGACGTTACCAAGGGATGCCACGGTTGCTACAGAGCAGTAAACAACTCTCCAGTGTTGCTAGGCAACCTGTAAACACGGCATCAGGCAACAGCGGTACCTATTGCACAACTGTTTTCTGTGTTGTCCGTACCGAGGCTAAATAAGGAACAGCAACACTGTTCAGTTTCGAATGAGTGAGTGATTAGTAGTGAGTAGTGAGTATTGAGCCAGTTACTAGTTACGAGCAGTTGAAAGATAGCAGCTGCCATGGACAGTTGGAATAGAGCAGCAGTTGCAGAAAGAAGACCTGAACGCGTGATAAGAAGAGTTTATGTGTGATAATCAATGATAGTTTGTGATAACTGAGAAGGTACTGGGAGTGAGTAATTAAGTGACACTTGTACAGCTCCCGCGTTATTAATACGTGAATACTACTGAGGACAGAGTGAATAGAATAGTGTGCAGGGTTTGTGGATTGTGTAAACCCGCAACAGTGTTATAATTAATTGTAGCCAAGACTTTTAGGTTGTTAAATAAACCAATTAACAATCGGAACGGCATCTTCAGTGGCAAAACACATTACAATACATAAAACATATGATTTGAAACCATAAAATAAATAAAGTGACAGGATTACGAATTTCACTTATAACAGATTCTGTACAACAGTGGAAAGAATGTCTTTAAAGACGACATCTGACAGGACCTTCCCCAGAACTATAAAATATTGTAACGTGTTTGCGTTACCGAAGACACCGTAGAGATGGTTAATTGGTTTATTTAACAATCTACAAATAACGGCTACAATTACTTATCTCACAGTTGCGGGGTTTCACACTTTATAACCCTAATCGCATTAATCTGTTAACACTGTTGCGGGGTTTCACGACTTATAACCCTATGCGCAAATCAGTTCACTCTGTCTTCAGTAGTCTACACGT